ATTTGACTGATTGCCTGACTCATTGAATGACTGACTGATTGACTGACTGATTGGTGTTCAACTTACCGCCCAAACTGCAAGTGTGGAAAAATCGCGAAAAATCTTTCAATAGAACTTTTTTATCGGCCTCAAACCTGTGTTCTAAGATCTTTGTTGAAATTCATCACTAATATAAATAATATAATGTAACATTTTTTCTAGACTTCATATTCGTTTTGTTGGGTAAAAGTATTAAAGTATTCTCATCAGTACTGATCCTTTCTGTTTTAAAGTTGTATATCCATATTATTAAATGTTAAATTAACATAAAATGTTGTCCGTTTTGATATATATGGTATTACTAGGAATACCAGAGATGAGAACTGCTTGTTAAATATATTCCTTAAAATATATATCTAATATATATTGAATCATATAATTGAATTAAGTTCTACAAAATGAAAATAAGCTTAAGTACGTCATACAAAATCCTAGGGTCTTTGTTTGTCGTGGAACTTTTCTGAATTATATTTCGACCAACTTATGGCTCGGAATGCTTTGGCTACTCATTTATTCAATGTGATTGTTGTTGTACAGCATTTTATGTGCACCCCTCCCCCCCCCCCTCTATTTGTTGTTCTTGTTGAAATTGAAGGACAAGCCAGGAGCTACATGCCACACAACCCCCTCCCTCCCCACAATTGTTTTTTGTTGACGCTTTTGCTTTATGAAATTCAAATAGAAATTGAATTTGAATGTGGAATGCGGAGGAATTTCAACTGGCTTTCATTTTGAGTTGAGCGCAAAAACTAATTAATTATACGTGCAAATTGCGCGATAAATGCCATTTCTATGCTTCCTTCCGTCACAGCAGCTGCTGCCGTTTTCCTTTCGCTTAGCTGCGGCTGGGTAATGCCTTTTTGTTTATATTCTGCACTTGTTTCTTACAATTGACTCTCGCATATTTATGCAGATTTCCATTGATTTTTGCTAGGCATGTGGCGTGGCCAGTGGGCGTGGCCGGGCACATAATACAGATGCTGCTGCACTTGGCTGACCACACACATTACAGCAACAACAACAACAACAACAACAAGAAGTGTCCTTGTGCTCGTTAGCCAGCTGCAGCTTATTTTGGAGCACATCTATTTTAATGCCACACGCCCACACAGCCAGCCACCCCTCCCCCCCCACCACCCTCCACCCCCCTTGGATTATTGCATTATTTTGCACGGCGCGACATCTACGCAACTTGTTCTGAATCTGCCTGCACACGCAAATGATTCATGCACAAAAATATTTTAATTATGCGAGCGCAGACAACGCATCAACTTGTTAAGACTCTTTGATGGAGGGGGGGTGAGGTGTGGGGGGATGTTTAGCTGCACGCTCACTTAGCGCTGCGGGGCATTCAATTTGTTTGAACTTGCAGCGCGGCGCAAGTGCCAAGTCCTTAGAATTAATGTTGCCAATTGAACTTGACCCAAAAAACAAAAAGTGAAAAAGTTGCGCAAATTTTCTTTATTATTATTTTATTTTTTTTTTTTTCTAATATTTAGCTGCTCGACTCAAGAGCAAGATTAATAATAAAACGCTGTGCGCCATGAAAATCGGAAAAGTTTATTTGTTCGAGTCCTGAATTACCCAAAACTGATTCGCTTAGCCAGGCTTCAACTGCTTGCATAAACATGGCCCGAACTAATGGAATTTTCCAATCCATTCGCTCATAATTAATTGTTTGTTTATTTGTTTCTTTTTTTCCTGGTAGAAGGTTGTTGTCGATGTGCATGCACAGATTAAATAGTTTATAATTAAGTTGGGCCAGAGATTCATCAATCAATTTCTTTGCTGTTATTTATTAAGCCTTGTTATTTTGATTTAAAGTTTCACAACATTGAAAATGCATATATCAGGCGGAAATTTTGAACCCCAACCTTAGACTCAAGCTCAGCTAAATACTTTAAAATTTAATTGGGAAAATACTTAAATGTTATTTAAGACAGCAAAATGGCTTAAATTTGTAACTTAAGACAGCAAAATGGTTAAAATTTACTAAAATATTTTGTAATTAGTGGCAAATATTTGCCTTTCAATTAAATATACACAGGCAAGGGGCCAGAACCCGCAAAGGGCTGTTGAGCTGCCTTTTCTGTATTTTGCTTTAATTATGTTATTCAATCCAAGCTGTTAATTGAATTAACATAAAGCCGAGCCGAGTTTCTTGGGAATTTTTTAATTAGCAGCGTTTGACTATTATTATTTGCCAACAACAAGCTGCTTTAAAGCATTGCACACATAAAGTAAAATCCTGCTGTTATATTCATAATATGCAAGCTGCAAAGGAAAGAAAAAAAAAACTATTTTTAGTACCAATTAAACGCGGCTCTTATGAAACTCTCGCACTCAGCGAAAAAAATAAAGCCGAGCAGTGTCAAGACCAGGAAAGCTGATCTAGAATATATATACTTTTTGGGGTCGGATGTAACTCCTTCTATGCGTTAAGGAAAGCCTTATTTTGAGATTTTTGAAATTCGAAATAATTCAAAGTACTTTGAATTTAAAGAACAAACTTGAGTCAAGCTGAAGTTTAGCTGCCAATTTTTCTCTTAGTGTGCGGATAATAACTTTGAATTTATGCAGTCTAAAGCAACCCTCAACAGACAGACAGACAGACAGACAGACAGACAGAGAGACAGTCACAAGTTGCATGTTGCGAGTTTCTGTGCGCACTTAATTATGTGTGACCCACATATATGATCAGAGTCCAAGTGCAGATGCCATAGCTAACATTTTGCGAGCTGAGTCTGAGCATCTGTTTGTGCAACTGTTTGTGCAAAGTGCTTTTGGCTGTTCCACATGGCGGCCAACAGCTTAACTGAAACTGAAACCCTTCGTCGGGCATAAGTATAAGCACGTCTCGCTTTGCGTTTGATATCAAAATGCATTCATGTTTAGTTTTGTAATTAAAAGTGTAATTCTAGCGGCACGCACAAGCACCTGAGAGCTGCGCACACACACACAGGAGAGGGGGGTAGAAGGGTTGACATTAGCATGCAAATGTATGCGCTACAGTGTCGAGTGGCAACAAGAAACATTCAAGGTAACACACTCACACAGCTGTAATTACATTCGAGTGCTTTTTGCCTGCGCCATGTTTGATAAGTACGAACGAAAAATTGTTGCATACTTTCGAGCGCCATACAAAAATGTCAACGGCTGCTGCGCCGCTTTATCTACAAATGCAAATGTACAAATGCGTGTTGTGTGTGTGGAATGTGTATATAATTGCACGCACACTTGAAACAGCTGCCCTGACACGCCCCCAAAAGTTCTATGCAACGCCCACAGTTGGGCGGGGGAAAGGGGTGCTGTCATTCAATCATAAAAATGGCCTCACTTGTCGCACAGTTGTCATAAAACTTTTGCCAAACCACGTCCACAGCGAAGCAACACCCCCCCGCCCCCTCCACCCTCCACCCTCTCTTCTTCTAGCTGCCTTGTGGTGCGTATAATATTTTAAAAATGTTTATAGTTGAAATATGGCTGGCCATATCTCTAGAGCGCGCCCTTAGCTAGCTTCCTTCCTTGGCAACTTCCTGTCACGCTTCGAGGGCAACAGCCATATAAACATGATTGTTATTATTGTTGTTGTCGTTGTTGTTGTTGTTGTTGTTGTCTCTGTTTCATTTGAGAGGACGTGCAGGAAATTTGAGCAACGCACAAAAATCCATTTACGTAATTACTTCACGTTAACTTTTGCTGTGCGTCGCCCAAAGGTTTTCTTCCTTCCTTTTCTTTATTTATGTATTATTTTTTTTTGCTGTTGGGTCCTGGGAATGTTTTATGGAAGAGTTGGCTGCCAGCAAAATGGAATTGCAACCGAGTCCTTTTATTATTAAATTATTACACAGCATTGCTTATTGCTTTATTGGAAATCTTTTTCTACTTTTCTTATACATATTTTCCCCCCTGTGTCAATCCACTTTGGGCCACAAAACTTGTGGGTCCCTGTCGGCGGCGGCCTTTTCTAATTAGATGAGGCATTTCGGCCAACGCATATTCATTACAAACTTTTGCCTTAACTAACCTCTTGTCCTTAATTATTGCACAGTACAAAAACACTTTTGCCCTCTTTTCGACATTTCTGATAGATTTGTGAGTCCTGCGTGAAAGCATATTTGTGAAACACAATTAAATATGAAATTCAATTCAGGTTTTGCTTAAAATTCGCATTAATTTTGAAATACTTCTTATAAAAAGGACATCCAAAGGAATCTAGTAAGAATGCGAGCTGCATAATTCTTAGCGTGAAAATTAAAAAATGTAATTTTCTTCATAGTTGTTGCCATTTTGCCTTTCTATAGATTTCTAATCTTTTGTTGATTATTTCTAGGTATGCTCGGGGGCAAATGTAATACATCAGAAGGCTTAAGAATTTTTCTAACTAAAGAGGTTTTCGCAAATATTCTCTTTGCAGAAGATATTAAAATTCCCTCTTATACAGGACAAAGTATTTCAAGAAAACATAGCATAAAAATGTTCTAGAATGGAGCTTAAAGTTCGTAAAAGGCAAGAAAAACAAGAATAATTAAGAGATTGGAAACTTTAATAATAAATATCTAATATCTGACATATATATAATATATATATTCTGATATCTAATACACATATATTATGATATCTAATATCTATATTACAATATCTAATATTAATTTTATTATAATTAACTATATTCAAAAGAAAAAGATATTTTATATTGATTTGAAGAGTCGACAGACAGAGCACGAAGTTTGCAGCCCGAGAAAACGGAAGTCAGAATATATATTTCACAGTAAAACGTTTTAAACTTTTTTGATAGCTAATTAGGATTTATGATTTGTTCATATTTTTACAGATTTGCGCGCAATTCATTATGATGTAAGGCAACGCTTTGGAGGCAGCCAACCAAGAAACGAGTTTAGCTGGGCAAACAACCAGGCAACAGACGGGCAATACGGCTAAAACAGAGGCAAAGTAGAGGAAGAAGAAGAGTCAACGGGACGCCCCCCTCCCCCCTCCCCCTAGAGGACGAGAGGAGACCAACAAGTTGCCATCAACGGCGTCACGCCCTTTGAGTGAAGGACTCCCTCCCAGGCGCAGAGACAGGGACAGCAGCAAAACGGCAGCCGTGGATACCAGCACGCTGCGCAGTTCCGCTACTGTGAAAGCGACGACGCCGACGTCGCTGTCGACGCCACTGTCGCTGCCGCCGCTGACAATTTGTCAGCCGCCAGCGCCAACGCCGCCTTATCAGCGGCTGACCAAGGCGTTGCAATGCGATCCGAGATGCGGTCACGAGGTGAGTGCCAATAAAGAGTTCAGCTCTCGAGTTGCGGTCAAGCGTGGAGTGGGCGGTGGGCGGGACGTGGGGTGGCTCTGGGTGTGTGCTCAGCTGACGTCACAGCCAGGAGCGGACTTAACTGAAACGGAGGCATGAATGCAAATAAATCTCTCTTGCATATCTCCCTCGTGATAATTCAATTTTCTCACAGTTCTTTATAGTTTGTTTCATCGGGTAATTGAATCTGGTTTTTCCAGGATTTATTTCTCGATTAAGCCAAGCACAAATAGCAGCACATTTCTTGAGAAAATTGCATTACCAACAGCTTGGGCTTTAATGTTGTAGCTCAACTTTGGCTTTCTAAATCAAAGACAAACACTTTTGCTGAAGACTTTGGGGCATGTAAATAATTAATGTTACCTTAAAAACGACCCTTGGGATCCTGAGGGCAGGCTTTCAAAATATCACAAAGTTCTTGAGCTTAATTAATTTTTAAAATGGTCAAAGGTAACATTTAAAATACAAAAAACATTCTTAAGGCAACTTTTAACAAAGACCCTAAGCTTTAAACTCGAGCTTCAGACTTGGGAATTGAATAGTTTAAATTTGAAATTGAAATAAATAGAAATAAATAATAAGATAGAAGAAAGGCAACTAACAATGAAGATCTGGTAAAAGAATAATAATAATAGAAAATGTAATAAAAATAAAAATTCACAATTGATTATAATAATAATAACAAGAGGTTCGAGGTTAGGGAAGTTCCCGAGTAGGGGCTATCCTGGATCACCTTATATGCGGTAGCTATAAAACTAAAGATACTTGATATACTTATATAAAAATTGTACTGCGCGGACACTGAGATCCTTGCGTTCATACATACGGACAGGCAGACGGACATGGCTATTGATGCTGATCAAGAATATATATACTTTATGGGGTCGAAAAATCCTTTCTACCCGCCTGTTACATACATTTGTATGAATTTGTACCCTGAAAATGGGTTATTTCAATGGGTTCAGGGTATAAAAATAATAATAATAATATTAACAATAATAATAATAATAATTAATATTAGTATTATAATCAAAAATAATACACTTAACCGAATCGACGGACAAATAAACCAGCTGCGACACCCTGGTCCGAGCTTCGTTAGCTAATGCACAAACCCGCGCTTGCAGTCGCTGCCGCTGTCGCTGTTAACGTTAACGTTGTCGTCGGCGTCGCAGCTGCTGCGCTGCAATTATGTCGTGGTTCAAGGCTAATTTTCTTGCGCCCCAATGAGCGGGCACAACGGGTGTGTGTGTGAGTGTGTGTGTGTGTGAGTGTTTGTGTGTTTGCGCCATTCATCGTTTATTTTTGTTGGTTTTGTTGTTGTTGCTGTTGCAGTTGTCGCTTTGTGTGCATGCGAAATGCGCGTGTGGCAAATGTAATTCCGCCGCATTACGTATACGCCACGTATTGCACGGCGTTAATTAACGTTGCCCGCTGCTGCTGCTGCCGCCGCCGCTTTGTCTCTCATTTGGATTAGGAAAAGCCCAGCTACAAAAGGCGCAGCAGCAGCAGCAGCTTTGCTTCAATTACATTTACCAAATTGCAGAACCACTTGACCTTGGCTAACCAAAAGCCGTACAGGGCAAAGGCGGATCTTGATTCACCTCAAAATCCACACACGGTGTCATATGTGACTTGACCTCGCCCTAAGCTGATTACTCAACAAATAGGAAACTGAGAAATTTACAAAATGCATTTTAATAGCATTAGTTGCTGCATTTTATTTAGTTGGGGGGAGCATTTTTTAGAAGAAGAAATTTATTTAAATATTGATTCCATTTTTAGCCAGTATATCAAAATCATAAAACAGAAATTCGCTGAGCTTTGATTAATGCAATAAATTATTATTTTTGTTATCAATTTTATTTATTTAATTAACTAACTTGTTGAACAGGTAACAATTGGCCGTCGCATTGGCCTCTACAGATTCTGTGGCGACATCGGACGCGGCAACTTCTCCAAGGTCAAGCTGGCCGTGCATCAGCTGACACGAGGCAGGTTTAACCCACTTTAACCTCGGCCACATTAAATCATAAAGCATCTCAAATATTGCAGACAAGGTGGCCATCAAGGTAGTTGACTTGGATCGCGCCGGCCTCGATGCGAAGGCGTTGCGCATGCTCTCCAGCGAGATAGCGACGCTCGAGTGTGTTCATCATCCCAACATATTGAGGTGAGAGCACGAGTTGCCATTCCATAGAGCTCCTCCTTCAATTTCCTCTCTCCCGAGCAGGCTCTTTGAGGTGGTCGAGACGCTGGGCCGCGTCTATCTGGTCACGGAATGGATACGCGGCGGCGAGCTCTACAATCACATCACGCAGGGCGGGCCGCTGCGCGAGATTCACGCGGCGCCGCTTTTCAAGCAGCTGCTGCTCGCCGTCAAGCACATGGTAAGGCAACTCTTAAGGCATCTCTCAGATAACCAGGTAATTTATTTTGCTTACTTTCGCCACTGCAGCATAGCTTGGGCTATGTGCATCGCGACATCAAGGCGGAGAATGTGCTGCTGCTCTCGGAGGATCGCCTCAAGCTGGCCGACTTTGGTTTCAGCACACAGTTAATTAATGGTGAGCTCTGATCCCAGCCGGTTCACGACCTGGCTTAACCCAGTTTCTATTCCTGGCAGGTGCCAATCAGAAGCTGGATACATTTTGCGGCTCGCCGCCGTATGCGGCGCCGGAGCTGTTCTCCGATGACCATTATATTGGCGCCCCGGTCGATGTCTGGGCCCTGGGCATATTGCTCTATTTTATGGTCGTCGGCAATATGCCATTTCGTGCACCCACCATACCCGGCCTCAAGGCAGCCATACTCAAGGGCGACTATCTGCTGCCCGGCCAGCTGAGCTTGCCCTGCATAAGACTAATTCGTAAGTGTGTGCCTCGATTTAAAATCGATCTATCTAGCTAAATCCGACTGTCTGGTAGTAGGGAAATTTTTACTGAAGCTCCCTTTTGGGTCGAGAGTGAGCACTAAGACGAGGTTTTGGAACATTTTGTGTCTCCTAATTGCAGGAACAAGTGGCCAAAGTTTCTATGAAATAATAAATTTATTGCTGAATTTGAGCCAGCGACCTCTCGCATGCTAGTTCGACGCAGAGACCTCATGGCTTCGAAGTCTAATAAAAGTGCTTGGCAAAAGTAATGCCATGAACATGCACAACTTACGTGCCTGGGCGTCGAACTAGTATTGGAGAGGTCGCCGGTTCAAATCTAGTAGAAATTTTCAATTTTTATATATTTTCATATATTTGATTTTAATGCAAAAAGATTTGATATAAAGTAAACGTGGAGCCAAAAAGGCGAAAGACGAATTACAATAATTTTAAATATCGCCCATCTGTCTTCCTGGCGTTAAGAAATATTACATTTGCAGGCAACAGAATTATTTATTTTTGTACTCAAATTTCTTTCCATCTCTCTCTCTCTCTCCCTCCTCCACCCTCCCTGTAGAACGAATCTTAATCCATGTGCCCGCCCAGCGGCCGACCATAGACGACATCCTGAACAGCCAGTTTGTCACCTGCCCCAAGCTGAGCGTGGAGCTGATGCAGCTGGAATTGAATCTGCATAGCAAGCCCGCCAAGCGTTCCATATTCTGGGTGCGCAAATCGAATCGGCTGCGGAAAAGCGCCTCGCTGCGGGAACGCTACGCGGAGGTGGTCAAGAAGCCGGCGATTAGCATGAACACGCGCCAGCAGGACGAGATGTTCGTGCACAGCTTTTTGCATCCCATCGAGCTGGGACACGAACAGCCGACGGCGGCCAATACCAAAGAGCTGGAGGCGAATGGGGAGCCAGTGAAGCGTTCGGGTCCCGGCAGGCGTTATCTCTTCTGCGGCACGCTCAAGAAGAAGATAACGCCCATCGAAACGGAGCCGGAGAAGCAGCTCTCGAACGGCGGCCCGCCGGCCAAGCTAAGCCCGTGGAGCATCGAGGTGGCCGACGATTGTCCGCTCTTCAAGAACTACGACGCGGAGACGGGCAGCTGCGTGATGCTGCCCACCAATACGGACGATCTCAGCCAGCTGTGCGCCTTGGAGTTCGAGGCCAGGCAGCTGCTCGCCGAGCTCGGAGTTACCACACAGATGCTAATCAATGCCATACCGAGCGGACCAAGATCCGACATCATTGGCGCCTATCGGATCGTGGTGAATCGCCTCCAGAAACAATCCTGGCTGGCGCGCAAGCATGTGGAAATGGCCCTGCAGCTGGAGCCGAAGACGGAGAAGCGCAGCGAGCGACAGTGCTGCATATTGTAGGCCAATGAATGTTGAGTGTTTAATGCTTAATTAATTATAATAATTAATAATTAATATTTAATGATTAGTGTCAATTCTATAGCCCAGCAAGGCAGGCGGACAGGCAGGAGTTAGGTGTGTTTCTCGTTTTTAGTGTAGAGCGACAGAAGAGCTGAAGAGTTCCTTATTTCGTCTAGGTTCTGAGTTTAGCAAACTGTTAATTAATTATATTGAAGGATAATTAGATATGCTATGCATTAGGCGCCATTAGACTGGTTTTTACAATTAACAAGCCCCACAAAAGAAATATGTTTGAAAAACAATTGACTCAAGATTTTTGCGAAAATCAAATAGAGTATAGACATGTATTTTATTTATGTTCGTTCTTGATTTGATATAAAACTAACTAAATGCAATTGCGTGACATTAAGAGGTTAGCCATAAAAAACGAATACAGTGAACGCTCGCGAATTGCCACGCTTTGATTTCTGAGTGAAAACTGGCAAAAGCAACTATTTTCTAAATAAGTTTTGAATGATCGTGATTGAAACTCTTTGTTTTCAATTTTTTATTTAAAATTCATGTACCTTATCCATATTTTTTTTTATTTTAAATTAATATATATTTTTTTCAATATTTAATTGATTTCGATAGACCTATCTAATAGAGTCTCAAAAAATACTCTATACCAAAAAGTGTTTAGTATCGAGTTTATGTTAAGCTAGATATTCAAAATGTATTGAAATTTCGCCTTAGTTAAGAGTCGATAGGAATTTTTCAAACCTTTTTCCAACTGTTTAAAGTTTTTCGTTTCATAAGCTCCAATTTCTGAGCAACTACTGAATCTAGAAATGGAAATGAATTGAATAGTTGAACTCTTCAAAAAAATTCCAAAATGGAATAAGAACGACTTTTAAAGACAAGACAAAATCTGTCACGAAACGTTTTTAAAGAATATTCAAAAAGTTCATAATTAAAAAACGCGCTAGAAACGAATATTTCGAAAATGTTTAGATTTAATAATTAAAATATCAAATGCATAATTGATAACATATAATATTAAGCAAAAACCAAGTTATAAATGTCCCGAAAAATATGCCAGATATCGAATGTGCCACTTGCAACATTTTCTTGGGCATCTTATTTCTAAACGTTTTTAAGATTTTAAGCCAACAAACAAGTGTAAAAAGCCAGTCTAATGTGCATGTGGTTTGTTTAAATCTAGTGAAATTTATATACATACATACACATATAGTCCAAGTATTATGTATTTAGTTGTTGGTCCATTTTTGAGCATATATATATACATATACATATATACATACATATATATATGCGAACACACATACGAATTATACGAATAACATATACAAAATATACAATATATACCATATAAAGATAAAGATAAAAAAAAGGAAATTGCAAAACAGTTCAGACTACTCTTTAAATTCCATATAAAAAATGGTGTTTTAATCAATTAATAAGGTAGTTTGTATTCATCGTCATTATAAAGAAAGCATAAACAATGCGTTTGTAAGTATTTGTATGTGTGTGTTTGTGTGTTTGATGCCAAATTGTCTCCCACGGAGTCAATAAAACTTACAATAAAGCAGCATATCAAATATATATACATACATTTAAGTAAGTCTGTTTATATATATATATATAAGTATATGTATGTGTGTGTGTGTGTGTACGTAAACAAGCTGTAAATTTAACACTAGATTTCTTATAGTTTATAGCCATTCGTTAGCCGCAGCATCCGCTCGAGCCGCACAGCTGGGCAGCTGCTCCAGTTTCGTACAGGTTTAACTACAAATATTAAGCACGGCGCAGTCGCCGCACTCTCTCTCTCTCTCTCGCTCGCTCGCTCTCCCTCTCAGTCGGCCGTCGCCTCTCTCAGATTGGGCTTGCTGTCGACGTCGCTGCCGCTGCCTGCCAATTGGAGCGCATTGATAAGACACACGGCAAATTGAGTGAGAATTGTGTTATCACTCACCCACAATGGCAAAGGGCTCCGAGTCGCTGCCGGCGGCGGCGGGCCAATCAATGTCCGGCATGGCGGGCCATTCAATATCGTCCGCCGTGTCCCAGTCGACGGCACGGGACTGACTTATCTCAAACAGCGCCGGCGTGCACAGGCTGAGCACCTCCTGGCGCAGCTGCTGCAGCAGCTCGTCGAAGCTGTTGCGCGTCTTGCACAGAAAACAGACGGCCAGCGAGGGATCCATGGCGCCAAAGCTTAAGCGTGCCGCATACTTTTGATGATAGCTCTCGTCCAGCTCCTGCTCGGCAGCTGTGCTCTTTTGGGCCACGGTGCCGGCGCGTTGTGTTGTATGCGGATCCAAATACAACACCTCGTCGTCCACATAGCCCAGAAAGTAGAGCGCCTGATTGGGCCGACCGCCAATCATGCCGCAGCTGCTGCTCAGCTGCAGGCAGCGCTTCAGGGCGGGTATATAAATCGGATTTATATCGCTAATGCCCAGCCGGAGCGGCACAATCAGCAACAATGGCTTCCACGTCGAGTCGCCGGGCTCCTGGCAGCGTGTGTCTACAAGGCAGATAAAGAGATTAGCAAAGATTTGGCCTCCACTTCCTCTGCCTACTCACATATCTCGTCCAGCACCACGGTGCTGTCCATGGCCACGTGTACGACCAGCGAGCTCCAGTCATCGAAGCGCACCAGGATTCTGTGCAGGTAGATTAAACAATTATTACTCGGCTTTGTACGGGCCAGACGGGCTACTCACTTGAGTATTTGGGCAACGGTATTTGGTCCGAGCCACTCGCCGACGGCTTTGTTCTGCGACTCGCCCGTTAAGGCAATCTGATGTATGGAGTAGAAGCTCTTGCGCGTGTCCTCGAACCGATTGACGATCTTCAGGTAGGTGGCATCGCGACAGTCCGGCGTCCAGAACCAATCACGGCCCAAATGCAGCTCGATCAGGGCCTGGGCGAGCACCATTTGCCCGCAGCGCAGCATGCAGCCCCAGCCCTTGTCGCTGGTCAGCTGCACCTCGCCCAGCGGCACGAAGCCATGGCGATATGTGCACCACAGACGCGACTGGATGTCCCGTCTGATCAGCTCCAGTTCTGCAAAGGCAACGGGTGACATAAGTTTAGATAAGATATGGACTAAGAAATACAGGGAAAGCACACTCAACAAACAGCGGAAGGTTGCAGCTAGAAGACCATAAAAAAGTATATAAATCTATATATATTCTGATAACTACAACAAGCTGATCCGATCTGGTATTGTCCAGCTGTCCTTATGTGTGAACGTGTCGGTCTCGGAGACTATTTCATCAAGAGACTTAAGATTTCGAACCTAGCTCCTTTTACTGCCCGCGCAGATCAGGTATGTTTAAAATTATCGATAACTTGCTTCGTTTGTAAGTTATCGATAAAAATCGATATCGAAATCATACTTTGAGCATATATCGAAGCTGATAGATCCAAAGTATTTCCTTTGTTTGGGATATCTTCCCACGTTCACCCAAAACATTTTTGGATGGTAAAGCCTTTGCGCTTTGGTATAGACACAGTTTTTTATGCCAGATTTAAGCCTTTCAAATTGCAAAAAAGATCGTACAATAAGCACCGAAGTTAAACAGGAAAGCATTTACCGTAAAGTGGATCGAAGGGAAGAAGCAGCACAGAAGTAACCGTAAAGTGCGCAGTTTACAATGGCAACAAGTCGTTGCGTACAGGATATCTACTAATCGGGCACTCCCGACTAGAGCCTTTCGATAACTGCAACCTTTGTTGTTCGTTCAAGCGTGTCTTCACTGTATTTGGTATATGCACACTCCTGCTGCTCACCTTGTATGGCATTGTACCGTTTGCCCAGCAGCCAGACGTCTGTATTGCGCTTTGGTATATCCTCCGGTTCGCCGACTGCGCCGCCGACGGCGCCAGCCAGCACGCTGTCCGGGCCGAGGTAGGCCTCGAAAACGCTGTCCATGCCGCGTGTTAGCTGCGAGTAAAGGCTAACCAGCATTTACTGCTTCCACCCGACGCTGCTGCTGCTGCGCTGCCTCTGCCGCAGTTCCGTGTGCGTCGCCTGCCAAATGACGTTGTGTTTTCTTGTTGCTGCTGCTGCTTTGTCTTTGTTTTGGCTAATGCTGTTGCCAGGGCTGCTGCTAAAGCTTTTGTTGTTGACTCACAGCAAATGCTTTAGTTGCTGGCAGTGTTTATTGTTATTACAAACTAATCGCAAATTGGTTTTGTCGCGTCTGCAACTGTTTTTCCTCGTTTCCTTTTTTTTTGTGTGTGCTGATTACAACGATAACAAAAATCTGCCTTGGCAGCGTCGTCAGCTGCGCGGTCGACGCGTTGGCGTTATGCTGGTATGACACCAGCAGGTTTGCCTTTTATATTGCTGCAACATGCTGTTTTTATATATATTGCAGTTAATTTGAAACAATAAGATTGAAATTTAAAACAAACAGCACAATAACTGTGCAGTCATTTAAAGTTTTTTGTATTTTTCGCTCAAATTAGTATAAAAAAAATTAAATGTCATGCAGTTAACAGTGATGTAAATAGCAATCGATAAATCTGCGCCCTCATTTTGCTGCTCGATTGCTGTAATCGGTTTTTTTAACAGCGCTGTTAAGCGCTCTGGTGCTGCCCTTTTAAAATGTAAACAAAGCAATTTGCATGCAAATAGCCAGTGTTGGCAATTGCCGCTTGCATTTAACTGTGGCGCGTTAATTTGAAAATGTTAACCAAACTTTTTACTAAATATTTACACTTTTAAGCCACAGAATTTGTTGTTTAAATCAAAAAATGTATCCTCTTCGTTCTCAGTTTTCTGCAGCATTTCCGCATTCGGATCGGCGCCGTCGGCGGCAACCGCAGCCGCTTTACGTGCCGCCTGTCGCTGCTTCTTCAGACGCTTCTTCTCCACGACCTTGGCGGCCGCCTGCTCCGGCGCCGACTGCTGCTTCCAGGGCGGCACAAAAGCCGCACACCAATCGTACAGATAGCAATAGAAGTCGAACATGAGACGCGAATCGGCCAGCAGGAAATGCTCCACATGGTAGCGCACATCCAACCGATTGCGCAGCAAATCATACAGATTGTAGATGAAGGCGCCGCAGTAGAGCTGATTCATGCGCGGACTGCTCAGGGGCCGATCCAGCAGCGCATTGAGGCCATTCAGCTGGTAGACAACCGACTGGAACTCGGCAAAGGCGTGCAGCACGCTCGTCGAGTACAGATCGTACTTCTTCTTGAAGATTTCCTGCATGTGAAAGTGCGGCAAGAGACGCTCCTGCACCAGATAGCAGTCCGACTTGGGCACCTGCGACATGCGCTCCGGCACCGTCAGCTCCAGCAGCGCTGGCTTAATGCCACGTCTAACGCCGGCCGCCGCCTCCTTGTCGCGCACGGCACGCTCCTGCCGCAAGATCTTGCCAAAGCGACGCTGGAACTCGCGGCGATCCCGCTCGGCGGGTATCGTGACGTCCACGGTGCGCAGCACGACGAGGCACAGCAGCAGCGCGTGCAGATGCAGCATATCGCAGTGCTCCGACCTGTGCAGCCAGTAGACAATGGCCAGCCCGTACAGCTGCAGATCCGGCGGCAGCAGCTCCAGCTGCTCAAAAAGCTGCGGCACATTCGCGTGCGGCACCTGCGCCTCGAATACGGCACGCAGATGCCGTGCATCCGGCGCCGCGGGCACAAACTCGTAGGCGGGCAACTTCTCGATGGGCTGGCGATAATAGCGCACATTCGTGACGCGCAGGGCACGCGTCAAATACGTGTACTCGATGGGCAGAGGCTGACCCTCTGCGTCCAGCTTGGGCTGCGTTGCGGCGCCTGCCACATGATGCAACAGGGCGAAGCTGTAGTTGAGTATGGGCAGGGCCAGGGCGTTGGCATCGTGATACGGAAAGTGCTCGATTTGCGGATTGTTGATGTACTTGCGCAGATGCAGCAGGTCCACAAAGTAGCGGGAGAGATGCGCCGGGTAGAGCTTGTCGAGAAACCATTGCGGAAACAGCAGCGTCTTGTCCTCCACATCGGGTGTATCCTCTGCATCATCCTGCTCCTCCTCCTCCTCCTCCTCCTCCTCTTCGACATCTTCATCCACATCCACATCTTTGTCATCCAGCTGCTCAGCTGCTGGCTCCTCGTCCTCCTCTGCCTCTTCCGCATCAGACGAGGTTCCCTCTTCACTTAGTTCCTCCTTCTCCTCTGCCTCTTCCTCCTCGGAAGAGCTCTCCTCTGAGAGATTATCCACCTGCTCAGCTTCACTTAGTTCCTCCTCCTCCTCTGCCTCGCTAGCTGCCTCCACGTAGGAAAATGCATTCTCGTAGTGCTTCTCAAAGAACTCGTAGGCGTGGCAAAGCTCATTCGAATAACCAGAAATGGCTGCCTGCACCTGAGACACCAAAGAATCGCGCTGGAACTGCAAAATTGTAAGTAGAAGTTGAATTAATTGAGAAACTTAAAAACTTTTTTTAAACTTTATCTTTTTAAATGACACTAAAGCTTAAGATTAATCCAATTTGATTCCGCTGGCAAACAAGCTTTAACTTGAAAGTGAGCTTTAATGTGCTTGATCAATATTATAAAGCTCTCTTGTGCCTTTAAATTAATCTATTTTAATCTAAAGCCAATGCGATTTCCTTTTATGACTAAACTGTAAGCTTTCGTGTGCTTATCAAGCTTTTGATTTTTATAAGAACTTTTGTGCTTAATGTGCTTTCATGTGCTTTTCAAGCAGTATTGGAAAATCAAAGGCAGTATAGGCAGTAAGACAGTATATCATTTGTTAAATTAATCAACCTTTAAGTTTAAGCTTTCATGAGCTTTCAAAGCTTTTGCACTAGAGACAAAAAACGAGATAAACGTCATTTGTTTTCCAAGCTCGAGAATTATAGATTCAAGTGCGATTTTAGAATGTGAATTAACTTTGTGCTTTCATGATCTTTCACAGTTTTCATGTTAAACCAACTCTAAGTCGACTTTTGCTGCTTTCTGATAAAGCTTGAACCTTAAGAGTGCTTCTTCTTTTCCCATTTCAAGTTGCAGTGTTGGAAAACAAGCAAAAGCTGCTAAGCTAACAATTTCTAGTTCCAACTAGCTTTTAGCTCGTGTCATTCTGATATTGTGCTTATATATTTACCTTTTTCAGCCGGGAGAGCACCTTGGCCAGCGCCGACTCGGCCGTCTGTTCGCGCAGCCACTGCAAAATGACGCGAATCCTTCGCTGCTGCTTCCTCAATTTGCGACTGCGTCCTGCTTTGCCCATCCCAGCGGCAAAAAAGTTGCGAAACGCGGAACTAAAAAGGACAACAACAGGGATTAAAGGCTGATTGAAATGCTAAGACTGGTAAGACAACGAAATACCCTGTAATTTGTTTCGAAACAGTGCTGCCAATTTAGCTGAATTAATTTTCAGAAGTTGTTGGCGGAAAACAGTTGAAATTAAACATTTTTTAAGCTATTTCTTGGCAACTTATCCACACTTGGCAGCACTGGTTCGCAGATGTCCGATATTTTATACCCTATGTTATGTTATTTTACAGGGTATATCGAATCGGAGGGTTTTACACACCGCGCTATATAGTCGTTGCCAAGGAGAGCCGCAAACAGCGGCAGCTTCTCGGGGCTGAGGGCGCCACGCCCACACAAATGCTCCACACGATAGATGCAACAGTCGAGATATTTGTAGCTAGTCTTGGCAGAGGTCTTCCCAGTGACCTGGCTCGTGATGCCGGAGACAATTTTGTTGGCCTTGGTGCGTTTCTCGACATGCTTCGCCTCGTGCCGGCGCAGCTGGCGCGGCGTCTCTGCCTTCGCCTTGCTGCGCTGCTTGGTGAGCACCTTGACGGTGAGCGTGATGAGGGGTATGTACTTGACGTTGTGTATATAGAAGTCCGAGTCGTAGGAGAGCACGGGGCAGTTGAGCTTGCGGGCAAGGGCGGCCAGTTCGTCGTCCGCCTCGAAGACGCAGCGCATGACGGGCACGCCGCAGTCCCGGACGGCATCGACGAACACCTCCTTCAGGTGCAGCGGAAAGAGCGTGATCGAATCGCACGGATTTATCCTCTTGATGACCGCAATCTTGCCGCGCAGCCGCTTGCCGACGGTGCGCAGCTTGCGCTCCTCGTAGCCGCCGTCCATGAGGACATAGGCGCGGATCTGGCACTCGGCGAGCACCTGGAAGAACTCGACGACGGCGCGATAGAAGTCGTCGTAGTCGCCGCCAAAGGCCGAATAGCAGCCGGTCACATCCTTGTACAAATTGCAGGCCAAGTTGTCGCCATCGATGACCAGTGCAGTGTTGTGTAACTCGTGCGGCTTCAGGTAGAGCTCGGCACGTTGCGCTATGTAGCTGGTCAGGCCACGAACACCCATTTATTTGTTAAAGCAAAACTTTGTTTATATTTATAAAACAAAAGCGCGTGTTAGCAACACATGTTCGAGCAGTGCTGCAAAGCGCCTACGCTAAAGTGATGCCCATAAGCGCAAGCAGCTATGTTAAAGTGCCTGTTGCAGTAACATCAGTATGTTATCGTGTTATATGTGGTCAGTGCTGCCAACTTTAAGTACGAAAAAAGCTAGATCTAGCTAAGTAACTAACTTGGATTTTTACATTGCTTTATTTATTTTTTTATTATATTTATATTTTATTTATTACCTAATACATAGGAAAATATTGTTGTGGCAAATTTGAATTTAAGCAAAGTTGCCATGCAAATTTCATCTGTGTTTTTATATATATAGCACATAGACACTTGTAAATATTTAACATATTTAGCTATAAATATATAGGCTAGAATTATTCCATCAACTGCCAGATTATGATCATCCCGCAGCGAAAAAGGCTAAATTTGATGAGTTATAACCTTAACGCACTGTATCTTCGCTGTTAACGCAAAAACGAGACTGTTAACGCACCACTCGGCTCGCAATTGTTTTGGTATTTTGCTGGGTGTGTTGCATTATTATGTTAGCCGCTTACAGCCACACTGCACTCAGACTGTCGCTGTCAGGCAAATAAAACGCTTGTCTTTCGTTCGTAACGTAACGCGTAACGCGAGTGGGTTTTGTGGCACAGTGAAAAAATCAGCAACAGCAGCAATTAAAAATCGAAATCAAATGCAACACGCAATCGAAATAAACGTAAAAAGCGAACTAAAATCAAACAAACAAAATAATATCGAAAATTTATAACAGCGGCACGTTATGTGTAACTAACGTGTATTTGAGTGCCTTTCCAAATGCGAGCAGCAAACGCGTGCATATATACGGGTTCCGTTCGTTCCGCAGCGTATCGTATTTAGCTCTTGCTTTTGCCCACTTTACGTTTCGTGTATGTGTGTTGTTTTTGTGCTTGTTCAACGTAAAACAGCAGCAGCAGCAGCGGCGTCGGCAGCGCTGGCACAGGTAGACAACGTCTAAGACACCATAAAACGATGAAAAATTGAATAAAGCCAAAAAAAGTAATAAAATCAAATCTAAAGCTAAATAGCGAAAAGTATAGAATAAGAATTTTGTCTGCGAGGAGCGCATCAACAATCGCAACAACAACAACAAATAACAACAACAACAGCACTCATTTTTTTCGTGTTAATTACTTTTTGTGCGTCTTTGCTTTGCGGTCGCATTCATTTCATATACTAGTAATATTTTTCTTCTTGGATTTTCTTTAACAACAGCAGCCGCAGCCGCAGCCATCAACGGCCGCCAGACAAACAGACAAAATCCAACAACAACAACAGCAACAATATCAACTGCTCTCGCCCCCATGGGTGTGAGCGAGCGCGCAGATCATTTATACGTATCGTAAACGTATCGTGAATGAATATTCTGTCTATGTGTTTTGCAGCGCGAGCGAGCGAGCGAAAGGGAAAGAGCGCGCGGTGCGTTGCGTTGCGTACGTGTTTCAGTGTGTGCGTGCGTGTGTGTTTGTGTGGGAGCCAAGAGCATTTATAATAAATAAATTGTATGGCTACTCCAAAAGCAAATAAATAATTATGCTGCATAAAAGAAAAACGGCAAAAGCGTAACAAAAGTGTGAAAAATCGTCGACGACTTCAGCTCATCAAAAATAAATGAAAAAGGGAAATACGAGTTAAAAACACTCGCACGACTTAAGAGCAAAAACCAAAAGCTCTCAAGTGTTTCACTCTTTTACGTTGCCCCCCCTCCAAAATATTCGCGAGTTTTTGCGAGCGTGTGTGTGTGTTTTTTGTACGTGCTTATGGAATTTTGACAATTTCGTGTGTTGTCAGTCGAAAGTTTTTTGTTGTTGTTTTTTTCGATCAATTCGTCAACGCAACGGGAAGCTGCTGTGTTGGAATACGCGCTCACTGTGTGAGAGAGGCTCTCCCAAAAGGTGCGTATTACAGTTATTACTTATTTGCTATTGCTCAATTATGTTTTATAGCTGGAAGTCAGTTAGTTGATATTCCAGGAACTGGCAACAAGCTACGGGGCGTCTGCACGCTCACGTTTCCTGTCTTTCGCACATTTTCACACGTCCTTGCGCCGACGACGACAATTGCAATTTTCATTCTTTTTTGGCCAGTTGAGTTTCCCACGCCTACATGACACACACATATATATATATATATATTGCTCTGCAGGTAGTAAGAAAAAGTTCTCGCATTACCAAAATTGAACAAATTTCGTTGAATGCCGCCGTAGGTGGGCGAGAGAAATGGAAAAATTAGACACACACACACACGCACACTTGCAGCCACGTGAGTAACTGAAAATGCGCAAAATTGACCACCCGCAGATTCCAGCAGAAAAATATGAATAGGAATATGATTAATAAATAATGATGATCATTCCAATGGGATTGGTACTGCAATTTGGCACAATTTGAATCAGTGCGTCGCCAGAGGGCGCCACTGCTGTGCAATAATCAAGCGAAATTCAATTGCCGCCGTCTGCCAAATGGCGTTTTTGGCATCATTATGCAATTTCTTGCTGTTGTCCAGGCATTTTGGCAAGTGGACTATTGAGCACAAAAGTTCATGGGTTCCCCGACCCTCTTCGACTGGAAGTGGAGTTTAAGTTTTACTGTTGCGACAGCTGCTGCCGCTGCTGCTGTTTGCTCTCTGATTTTATGCATTTTGCTGCATACAATAAAAAGAGCATAAAATACATTCATACACACACACACGCACATGAACCGTGACAGCTGCACAGATCTTGCGCTGCGTGTGTGTGTTTGTGTGTGTGCGTCTCAAATGACACTTGCCGACTGCATAGAAAAGCGTTGTTGCCGTCTGCACATTTTTCTATAGAATTTCCTAGTAGGAAGTGCAGCAGCAGCAACAACAACAACAACAACAACAACAACAACAACAACGGCGACAGCACTTGACAATTGTCTTAGGCACTGGACTGTTGTCTCGCTCTCGCACACCTGCCGCCCCTGCAGGCAAAGAACAACTGTCCTAAGTACATTTGTATATGTGTGAGTGAGTGTATGTGTGAAGGTGTTGGTTTCTTCCTTGTAGTTTTTGTATACAGGGTATACAAAACTAAAACTGGAGATAAAGGCGTATTTTCAAATGTATGTATGATGCATAAATATGATCTGGGAAATTGATAAAAATCGATCGTCAGCCACGTGTTTTGAGTATACCTCTGATATGAATTGTGTCCCACTTATTTGAGGTTGGGTTTAGGGTATTTCCAAGTCGGACCCACTTGCTGTTTTATTGCTCTTTGTCGTCTGTACTCCAGTTATTCTATTTTATGCTCGCAATTATTCAATTGTCTTTGATTAAATGTGCAAATTTGTCTAATGTTTTGCTGGTTGTCTCGCTGATTGCGCGGAAGTTGCCATTTAAAGCTGCAACTAATTGTCCGCCATTTGTAATTTGTCACCGATCTCTCAACCCCTCTCTCTCTCGCACACACACTTTCTCAGTTATTAACTTATCCGCTATCAGAGACGTGAGCTTTGATTATATGTCTGTGTATGCTTTTACCGTTATTGCAACACCAAATACATCCCCCCCCCTTCCACCCACGTTTTGACCTACAAGTCGGCTTAATTATATTACCGACGCGCGCATTTCCTGTCCAATTTTACTTTATTTACTGTTTAGATTTTTAGGTATTGAGCAAGGCGCGCACAGCTAATAATAATAAAAAACCAAAATTAAATCCAAAAAAAGAAGAAGCTTGCAAACAGTTTTGAATATCCACTCGAAAATGCAGCGCACAGCAAAAACAACAACAAATAATGTAATTATTTCCCTTCACAAGCTCCACAAAATGAAGCAAAGCAAGAACAAAAATAACAGCACAAAAAAAAAAAAAAAAAAAAAATAAAACTCGACAAGCGAAGAAGCGATAGCGACGTGTCGGCAACTTTGTTGTTGTTGCTGTTGTTGTTGTTGTTGCTGGCGGGCGTAAGCACGTGCAGCAATAGAATCGATAGAACGCACAAAATGAGCAAAACTATTAATAAACAATTTGCATTGAACCCGCTCTTCGCGCGCACTCTCTCTCTCTCTCTCCCTCTCTTTCTTTCTTTACTTTTTGCTCTCACTGCGCTCTCTGGTGTTTCAAACCGGAACCTAATTGGTTTTTGTGAATGAAACGAGGCGGCGACCTTGCCCGTTTACGTCGAGCTTACGTTTTGCATTGATCGTTGATCAATTGAAAGCTTTGCCGCAATTCAATTTAATTGATGAGAGACGCTTACGTTGCGCGCTTACGTTAAAATTTACAGTTAGCCGTCGCAACGGTTTTAAAGGGAGATTTCAGTACGCCAAATCAGTAAAATAGAAAATTAAAATGATGTTATCTATATTTTAACACGTAACAGTTCTGAAAGTTGCAGTAGCCGAGTGGCCACTGTATCTCTCTTTCTCTCTCTCTCTCGCTCTCTCTTGCTTGTGTGTGTGTGGGTGCGCCTTTGCCCGCAGCTTTGTAATTTCGCAAATGTTTGCCGCTAATAAATCATGTTTCCCTTGTTAGCCGATTGTAAATTATTCGTTCAATACGCAAGGTTCAAGTGTTTGTTTTTGTGTCGATTTGGCCTCCTCCTGTGTTTTGGCTATTTATGCGGCGTTTGGCTACCGTGCGCTTACGTCATTTGCATATGCCGTATTCGTATTCGTATTGGAATTCATATTCATATTCCTATTCGTATTTGTATTCGTGTATGTATTTTTGCTTATATTCGTACATACTTGGCCATGTTTTACAGTTGTCAATTGGCTGCTGCGGCTGCTGCTCTTTTGGCCACTTTCGTAGGCTAAAACACATTCAGCTCGCGTCAACACAAAATATTGAAAGTAGGTAATGCGACAACAACAAAAACAACATCAACAACTGAGTCATCAGTTTTCTGTTTTCATATTCAAAATAAACGCGAAAAGTTTCTAGTACACGACCACAATATTCACAGATAACTAGTTCATCATTAAACGCATTCATAAAATACATATCGTCAGAGTGATTCCACCTAATTTTCACGTATGGGAATGGAATATGAAAATAAAAGGCAACTACTGTTAGGAATAAGCTGGTCAGGATAAAAGTTTTTTGTGGATTTTTGGGTGAGTGAATTTTTCTAAATGCAAAATTACAGCCACATTTCCACGCAGGCAAGTGGACTCCACAAAACAAGTGAAATATTTCTCAAATTAATTTGAGCATTTAATAAAAGAGTTAACTTGGAGTCGGATTGAAATGAAAAGGGTGGGTGGAAAAAGTCATACATATATACGAGGACATATATGTATATACATATATATATCCTCTTAACTGACTGTCAATATCGATACCCGCCTCTCCCCCATTCGGTCAATACGAATCTTGCTTATCCATCAACTGAATATTAAAACATCCTCAAAACATGTATTTTTAATTTTGTTGCCGTGCGCATAATTCGCAAGAATTTCACTTTTGTCTAGACCATTTTCATAATGCAATAAATTTTTATAAATTGCCGCGTTAATTGAAAATAATGTAGACATTTGTTTTGATTCGCTTGCGTTCAATGCAGTAATCGCCGCCTGCCAATAACTCATAAAACACTCATGAATGGAACCATGAATGAGGCCATACAATAAACATACGCCTCCATAAGAACAAATACGTCCAGAACTATATCCTGTGTATGTACTTAGATGGTGGGCTTGCTTTTATATAGGGGGTATTATAGTTTATTTATGAAATATGTGGCACAAGCAATACTCCATAAAGTTATTATTATTAATGAGCATCAAAGTTCAGTTGGATATAGATCTATTTGTCGGGCTTTACCTATGTGAACTAAGCTTCCTGTGAAGATATCTTTATAAAACTTGGTACAGATGATTCTCATTGCTGCAGGTGCGATATAGGTTAGAACCAGCGCGATCGGCTGACTTAGTTATATAGTTACCATATAAACTATCGGGCAAAAATTGAGTTTTCAGACAGAGCTCACATATTTGCAGCGCACATTTACTGTAAGTCTTTTTGCAAGGGTATTTCGTCGGCACGCCTAATAAGTTTATTTTTTCTACACTTTTATTGTATTTTATATGTTGATCTTATGGTCTCTGACGTCACGCGTGTTTACATTTTTAAATTTGTTTCTGAGAATGTTTAAGATACAGCTTTTTGATTACTGCCAAACTAAAAGTAATTAGCATTTGATTGGGATAGCCCAAAAATGCAGCTAAAACGATCACGTGCTCAAATGGCACTTAAGATTGAAGAGTTTTGAGTTGTATTAACTAATTAGTCACAAACGTATATCACAACTAATTAATAGCGCCCGCAGTTTAAGGCAAGCGCTTGCAAGTTAATCATAGCAGATGTTTTATCCCGAATGTGTAAAACCAATTCTTCGTGGCAATGGCCCCTTGTCCATAATCTTATCGGGCCATGTCTGACTGGGCGTTGCTGCCTAACGAGCTGGGTCAACAATTCAATACAAATACCGCAGATACAATTGCCATAGATAGGCACTCCGAAATGCCTTAGATAGGGGCTGTGTGTGGTAAAAGTAAAAAAATGAAATACTTGCCTTGGGTTAACTGGGCCCCGAATTCCCACAGTTCATAAAATGCGTCAGTGCGCTCTAAGTGAATCATTAAACAAATTACAAATTCGTATGCCAGTTATAAATAGCTAAAAAATGAACTATAGAAACTGAATTAGAAATAAAAGAAAACCGAGAATTTCAACTAAATAGGCAAACATGTTGTATATGTCCATCAGAGTAGTGTAAATATTGGCGCAGTTTTCGTGTGTTATGAGTGAGTCGAACGCCACCACCCACAGTCATCGTCGACAGTCAGTCAGTCAGTCCGTCAGTCAGTCAATCAGTCAATCAGTGAGTGACTGGGCACTGGAGGCGTTCGGTAAGGCACC